GATTAAAAATACATGCTTTTTATATGGAAAATCTACAAAATTAAAAAGAAAGTACTTAGAATCAAAATTAAGGGCTCAAATTTTCAGGGAATTTTTTTTTCAATCTAAAAACCAAAATTTTTATGTGTCAGCAAGAAAAAAAAAATTCTTTTTAAATGAAACACCCTAATGTATGCTCTCCCTTTTTGGTAGTAGATAATAATAATAATAATATCCTGAAATGCTAGAATGCGAGATAAAAATCTCAAACCAAACTGCTTAAGTTGCATAACCCGTAAGGTGTTATCCTCGTTCCGAATAAGACTCGCCATTTCTTATGTTGTATATTTTTTCACGTCCCCCCCGCTGGGGCAACCCAATTATTCGAAAATTAAATGCCTCGCTCATCGTTTACGGATGTATAATGATTCCTACTGTTGCCGCTTACCGATTTAAAAAATAAAGGTGTGCTTAATGTAGATAGTCGATTTTGTAACAGCCACTTTATGTGTGCCACGTCCCGAAGCGATTTTATTGCAAAAAATATGTCCCAAAAAAGTATCTCTCGTCAGATATCAAACTTTTTTTTCCTGGTAATTTGTTTGAAACCCCAAATTTTGTGATTTATATGGCACGCAGTTTTAGCATCTATAAATGCTAATGTATTAGATAATAGTTTGAAGATTAAAGTTTACCACTTTAATGATGTTTTAATAGATATTTCCAAAGTTATTCATGGTCAAAAATTGTTTTTAATATAAAAATCAACTGTAAAACTTTAAGTTTAAAAATATTGATTTTTAAAAATTTTAGTTTAAATATTTTTTTCTACAAAATTTTCGGTTTAAATTTGTGAATTTAATTAAATAATGGTCGATAAATGTTTAGTACAAAAATTCTCACATTACATTTAAATGTAATTTTTGTATTAAAAATTTATCGACTATCATTTAAATGACACTTTATAAATTGAAACCAAAACTTTTTATTTTTAACAACACAAAATTTAGCCAATTTAATCTAAATAATTTTATAAAAAATTTATTTTGGATTTACAAAATTATTCCCAAATAAATTATATATATTATAAAATTATTGTTTATTACAAAACTGTTAAATTTTGTCTTTCAATACATACAAATATTTTATATGAGGCGCCGTTCGTCCGTAAATTATTTTTGCTATATATAAGAATATTTTTTATATATAAACTTTAAATTTCCTATATATATAGAAACTTTTTAGTTCAGATAATGCCGCTTGAGAATGAGGGCGCTTTGTGGTATTCAACTAAAAAGCACTGTTGCCAGAGTGTGCCAATGCAATTTACTCTTATCTAGAATTAGTCAAACTTGAACTATTTAAGTAGTAAAAAATAACTATTTAAAAGTAAAAACGACTATTTATTTAGTAAAAAATGCTGGTATTTATTCAATAAAAAAATTGAATTTTGACTATTTTCTATAGGCAATGAAAATTTGCAATTTTTGCAGCGGCTTTAATTAAGTCTAAAATTTCCTTTAAATGCTGCGTTTTTTAATTCAAAGTTCTTTATAAAGCAAAAGTGATGTAAATATTGTAATTAGGCAGGCGCAGGTCGTCCGAAAACAATTGATAGTGAAAAGCGATCGTTCATTACACTATTAAATGATTAGTATGCAACGGCACGTTCAGTTAGTTAATTAAGCACAAGGATGGTTAAACACAATTGCAATTATGGGCATTTTTATTGGTTCAAACTTAATCAATAGTCTAATTTGCGACAGCATGCATTTATTCTAATATCTGATACGCGGTCAATGCCGCTGCATTGTAATTAATATTTGAATTCATTAACTAAGTGGGTATAGACGTTGTGAATTTCGAATTTTTTGATAATATATTTGTATTTTTTTACTCGTGCAAATTTTTTAATAAATATAACAAAAAATTTACGTTATGTTGCAAGATGCAGAATTTGTCCAAAAAAACAGTTCTATAATTAATGAAACCCTAATGGTATTATTCATAGAAATTTTGTAAATTTTACAAATCCCTTTTCGTTTAAAATAAAACTTTTTTTATAATATTAATAAAATGTATGTAAATTTAACAACAAATTAATTGTTAATTCAATAAACTATTTTTATTGTAATAATGGTCACATTTTCAACCTACTGTTGGGTTTTGGGTAGTTTTTTTTTTAATAATTGCAAGGCATTTAAACAAATTATTTATTATAACAAAAAAATTAACTCATATTATATGATGTACGAAATAAAAAAATACGAACTCACTTTTTAAACAACAAGTCTGCTTCGTTTATAGAATATACCTTAAATATTTCTTTAAAAAACGTCGAAATTTTAATTTTCTTAGTGATCTTTTTGATATTTTTATGATGCCAGATTTTACCACACTTCACGCGCACAATATTATAACACAGAGTGTGGATTATAAAGTTATGTTCACCAAGGAGAGCGCTGGCCCTTTCCCCCTCTTTTTAAGGGAAATGACAAAATTTTGCTACCATTGCAAAACAATAGTAAATAATAAAAAAGTCTTTTTATAGCAATAAAATATTTTTGTTATTGTTCTTAAGGTAAGCTATTAACAAAGATTTTCTAACTGAAATAAAATTAATTGGAATTACAACGATAGTAATTTAAACAAGAGAAATATGCCATAGTAAAATGAACAAATTTTACTATAACAACTGCGCCTTACTTTATGTAAGCGCAATTCACACACAACTATAGATTTAACAAAAACATTTTAAGTTCGACAAAGATTTAATATAAACATAAAGTATTTCTTATTGCCATGACCATATGATAACAACTATTACTTTGTTGGATGAACATTTTTTTATAAAAGCTCAACATTGCTGCTTCATTATAGTAAATGAGAATTTTATTAAAAGCAAAAAAGTTTATTCTGTAAATAAAAATAATCTCATTACTTTGACAAATCGTAGGTTTTTGTCCCAATACGACACTAAAAATTTAATAAAAAAGGTACCTTGGGTGGTACATTTTTTAGAGCCATTACAATTTTAAATTTCAGTTAAATAATATTATTTTATGAATCGTGTGGAAAATTGGCGCGTATGTTTGTGCTAAAATAAGTTACATGAAATTTGATAAAATCATTTTTAAGTGCCATGGCTCTAATCAATCACTTTAGTAACGAGTGTGGATAAAAATAACATTTATATTATAGACTGATTATTGTAGGTATCTTTTAATGGTTATCACTAATAAACAATTTAAACAATTTTACTAATAATATTTTATAATCTGCATTAGTAATTTTATAGTATATTGCGCCTATACCACGCTGTACCAACATGTAAACATATTAAAGAAGTACATAAACCAAGTGTCTTCAATTTGATATATGCCGGTACTAATAATAATTTTGAAGCATCCTTTTTAAGAGTTATGGCCGTAATTATCTTGTTAGGAAGTCGTCTGCGTATAACCCCAGCAACCCTTGTTTTTATTAATAAGCTCTCTATTTTATTTCAAATCTTTGCATCTGTCACGAAATGTTTTCTCGGGTATTTATAGGGTAAACAAAGATTGTTTTAAAGATGTTCTAGATTTCAGTAAAAAAGAGTATTTTTTGTTTCATTGTTGTTTTAAGTTTCCATTGCGTTTTTTATTTGTTAAAACTAAGCATAAGAATATTTATACCATGTTACTATTAGTTCAATTTTATTTCAATGTTTTTTTCATGGATAACTTGACAGCATAATTTAGATACAAAATTGTTTCCACTTAAAATTTTTTAATAAAATTTAGTGAAGGGTCGTTTTGAAGGGTGGTAATTCCGGTGCCATGCATAGGTTTAAAAAAAATCGCCAATTTGAATTTTTAAAAATTTACTGTATTTGTATATTGTAAAAATATGGCGGTTTTTGCTCTAAAAATACAGCTTTAACAGCAGCTATACAGCTTCGATAAAACCATCATAGGGCCAAAAAAATAGAATCCTATCGCTGTGTGTCAGCTACAAAGCAACTTTGCTTTATTGTATTACTCCTAAGGCACACCTTACAGCAGCCATAAAACCTACCTACAGCTGTCATAAAAACTGCTAAGTGCAAAATAGGTTTTAAGGAGGTAGTGTGCTTTTGTCGTAAACACATTTTAGCTGACAATTTGTACTTATTGATATACCTTTTTACTTTATTGTTGTATTTTGTAAATTGCATATTGCTTTAATTAAATACTTGTTAGGTATATATACCTAACAAGTATTTAATTAATACAATATATTGTTGCCTTATGAATCACAAGCATAGGCCATTATTGATTTTAAAAACTTAATAAGAAAATTATTATCTTTTGTCCACCAATAACTCTTGGATGCAAAAATCATAAACAAATACCACTTTACTGATAAAAGTTGATTGCCGAGACACAAAACGTATGATGCCCAAAAAACAATTTTAAAGGCTTTAGCTAAATTACTTACCCGATATACATTCCGTTTTTTAAACCATCTCCTATCGAAAAAATATTTTCTAGCATTAACCCATTAACGGCCAAAGGTGCATCAACGCACCCTTTTACTCTATTTTTTTTTGTGAGATTAGCTATAAAATAATATGCTTTCCTACCGACAGAATCTTCGGCCAATAGTCCAGAAAGTGTATTAAAATTTTTATTTGAGTAAACATATTGCTTAATTCAATTTTAATGTTACTGTAAAAATAATGAATTTCTAACTTTTTTACACATCTTCAAATAAATGTTGTTCTTAGCTAGAAAATGGAAGAAAAATATTTTTTTTTGTGAAAGACGTAAGTAAAATATGTTTATTTCAATAGTCATATGCTTTTTATTATTCGAGTTTTTAAAATAACGGTTATAGTGACATATATATGTAGTGGATGCGTATGCGCATCTTTGGCTGTTAACGACTATCTATTATTTATATACTTATAATATTATGCATCTCTACCTATAGTTATAATAATATTATTAATAAATAATATTTATTTTCGATAAATAAATATGTATATAAATATTTAGGACTTGTCAAAACAGCTGTCAATTATTGAGGCTATTAGCTTCCAGGAAGAAGAAGAAGAAGAAGTCAGTCAACAGCAAACTACGTTTATGTAAATAAGTGCAGTTTTGTGTAATTTATTGTTTTATTCTGAGTTTCAACTAAATATTTTTGTGTTGATAGTTATCATTTAGTGCACATAAAAATGAGGTAAGACATTTTAAGATCCGTTCAGACTGGTAAAAATTTACATCGTGCATGGCTTTTCGCTCAACTTTGTATGTGCGTTATAGAATTAAAATTTTGTTTATATTGTTGCAGTAATTTATTAAAATGGGAAATGAAAAGGGCACTAAATACTAACGAATTACTTGCTCTGTTAGAAGAGGATTCAGATTGTGAAAACGCCGAATCCGTTGATGTTGTTTATGTGCCGCCCGACACAGACGAAATTACAGATGAAGAAAACATTGATGAAAATGTGATTGGTGAAGAGAGACTGGAGGCGGATATTGCAGGAACGTATGAAATACATCCAAGTATAGATGATGATGATTCGGAAGATGACCTTCCATTGAGCCAAACAGTAAAGCGTGCTAGGGTTAATCCTGAAAAAGCCACAAAAAGTATTGTGCCAAACTGGAAAAAAACAAATACAACTACTTATTCCACTTTACCTGAACCTTTTTCTAATAGACATATAGAGAATATCAAAGCTGAACACGGTGGCAAGTCACCTTATGAATTATTTTCACTGTTTTTTGACAAGGAAGTAATTGACAAAATTTTATATTTTTCAAAGATGTATGCATCCCAAAACAACCGTCACGACTTTGAACTCACTGAAATAGACTTGAAGAGATTTATTGGTCTACTTATATTATCTGGGTATCATAATCTTCCACAGACTGATATGTACTGGTCAAAAGATCAAGATAAAGAAGTGCGTGTTGTAAGAGATAGCATGAGCCGAAATAAATTTCGGTCAATAAAACAAAACATTCATTTGTCGGACAACATGTTGCTAAATAAGAATGACAAAAACTAACGCCTATTTTTTATATTATAAATAGAAAATACATACAGTTTGGGATATTTGCAGAACACCTTTCAATAGATGAAGAGATGGTGCCATATTTTGGACGCCACTCCTGCAAAATGTTTATTCGTGGAAAGCCGGTCCGATTTGGATTTAAGCTATGGTGCCTTTGTTCCGATACCGGTTACTTATTCAAGTTTATTCCTTACGGTGGAAAAGCAGAGAAGTCTGACAATCTGGGCCCATTAGGAACAAGAGTTGTTTTAGATCTATTGTCTGTAGTAGAAAATCCAAAACAACATAAAATATTTTTCGATAACTTTTTCACTTCATATTCTCTTTTTGAAAGTTTAAAAAAAAAGGATTTTTCGCAACCGGAACAGTAAGAGATAACCGAACCGCTAAATGCCCAGTTGAAGATAACAAATCCATGTCAAAAAGGGAAAGAGGCGCTTATAGCTCTGCTTTTGATCTCAACTTAGAAGTTCTGGTTTCGCGATGGAATGATAATTCTGTAGTGACAGTAATGACAAATACCTGTGAAGTTTTACCACTTACACAAGCCAAACGCTATAACCGAAAGGAGCGCAAGGAAGTTCTTCTCCCACAGCCAAATTTAATTCATCAATACAATCAACATATGGGGGGCGTAGACCTGCACGACAATGGCATTGCCAACTATCGAATTGGTATAAGAGGCAAAAAGTGGTGGTGGCCTTTGTTTACTAATTTAATCGACAGCATGGTAGTAAACAGTTGGAAAATTAATAATATAGCAAATGAATCCAAAACGCCTCAACTGAAATTTCGCTCGGATTTAGCGCTCTCTTTACTCAAGTATGACGGAGAGGCAAAGGACACCGATATTTCTTTAAATACTGGAGTAACCAACTCAAGTCATGGAAGACCTTCCAGTTCTGCTCTACCAGATGACTTAAGATTTGATAATATTGGGCATATTATAATTAGGGAGGTTAATAGTTCAAGAAAAAAGTGTAGATTTTGCAAAAGTAACACAATTTACCTTTGTAAAAAATGTAAAGTGCATTTGCATCCAGACTGCTTTGAAAGCTTTCACACAAAAAACTGATTTCTTGTTTAATAATGTTAATAACTATTTTGGCCAAAGGTGCGTATACGCACCCACTGTTTTTTTTTATGAAAAATATGTATGTTTTTTTTTAACAGTAAATTAACCTTAGTTTATGTGTTTTGAATAGACTTTAATAAAAATGTCATAAAAAAATCTTGTTTTTCTTGTCTTGGCCGTTAATGGGTTAACATGCTCGTAAAAACCAAATTTTTTGAAATTTTCTGAAAAATATTATGTATTCGTATTTTATATTAAAATTATTTCATCATGGAGTAGCAATATTTTCTAATTTAAAAGGCTGTTTCAGTTATAAAACAATGAACTCTTGCAAACAACTGCTTTAAATAGTGTATACAACTATTTGTTAAAAGTGTTAAAAGCCCTATGACTGCCTTTTTCAAGGCAATCATAAAACCAATTGGAATTTTGTGCGAGCATTTTAAAACAACTTTGCAGTATTCCCATCAGAAAAGTATCGCCATCAGGGCTATAATGCTTTGTCAGATGATAACACGTAAAAATTGTCTTAATTGCTGTGATAGAATGATGCGGATTTAGCTCTTGGTTGGAACAGGACGTTGAAGGAATACAATGAGTATTATCAACCGCATGTTTTGCCAACAACACAGAAGCACAACTTTTAACAGCTGTTACAGGAGCCAGCTTTGTTTTTCTATAAAAATTTCCACTTTTTTAAACTTTTAACCACTGCTCTAAAAACTTCTCAAGCATGGCGGCGACATGTTGACAAGAGTTATTTTCTATGCGATTATCAAAACAAAAACGTTTTAATAAAGAAATAATAGCAACAACATCGTTAACACTCATGCAAATTTGCAAATTGGAAAGCAAATTGGTTATATTAAAGACTATTGCTGCTCTACTAGGAACAATCATAAAACCTTTTTACTGTTTGGTTCTGTAACATTCTTACATAGAGGAAAAGTAGTCCTAAGACCAAATGCTCCTATGAGTCGGCTTTAACGGATGCATTAAAGCCAACTTTCCGAGCACCATTAAAACCAATAGGCATCTGATAAACCTTCATAAAGCTTATTGGACTATAGGCGTTTCTTAGGGGCAAGTTGCCCTAAAAAAGCATTATTGTTAACAGTAATAAATCAATGATTATAATTGCAAAAAGGCTTTAATACTTTACTTTAAAGTCGATCATAAAGCCTAATCATAAAGCTTCATTATCTCAAGACCAACTAGCACAAAATACGAGGTGTGTTCAGAAAATATCGGGAAATTTCGTTTTTTGAAACAAATATTTATTTATTCGTCTACATTAATGTTGTCGCCTTCAAAATAGTCCCCAGTGGATATTATGCACATGTGCCAGCTCTTCTTCCAATACTCGAAACACTTCTAAAACTCGATCTTTGGGATAGCCTTTAGTTCTTTCAGCGATGCGCTTTTAATGTCATATATGCTTGCAAAATGACGGCCCTTTAAGGTTCTCTTTATTTTTGGGAATAAGAAAAAGTCAGACAGACGCATGTCTGGCGAATATGGAGGCTGGGACATCATTACAGTATTGTTTTTGGACAAAAATTTTGTTCAAAATTTAACAATTTTAGAACAAATTTTGCTGCCAAGCGTTTTATACCCAAAACATTCGAAAAAATTTCATGAGATGAACCAATCGATATACCAACATCATCAGCGACTTCTCTGATGGTTTATAACCATTTCTTCCACTTTTTTCATGTTTTTATCGGTTGTTAATGTGCATGCTTGTGCGTTCGAGGCGTTCGTCATCTTCAACGTCTTCACGGCCATCTTGGAAACTCTTATACCACTTGTAAACTCTTGTTTTACTTATAGCAGACTCACTATAGGCCTTTGTTAACATTTCAGAGTTTATTTCATTTATTAAGCAAAATTGGATACAAATTCTTTGATCCATTTCTTTTAACGAACGAAAAATCGCCAAGCTCATAAAACACGTCTAACCTTAGCGGCTGCCACAGACAAAGTAAACAATGAAAACAGCTAAAGTTTTTATCATACTTCGGGGGCATGTATACTAACATAATAAAGAAAATTTTATGACAACCGGACCCTCCGAACCCGCGAAATTTAACAATTCCCGTTATTTTCTGAACACACCTCGTAGAGCTGCAATAAAACAAAAAGCATGTTTTCATCCATATATAAAGATTGCATAAAACATTAAAGCATTATCGGTGGCAACCCTTTGCTACTTGGGTAGCAGCACTTCAGCAGCTAGTAAAGAAACTTATTTTAACTAAAAAGTTTTAAATATTGCTTTTATTTTAATTTTGTTATTTGTTTAACAATTTAACGGTTTCATAATTTGAATAAAATTGTCAGTTTGTCAACTGTCAATTTGACAGTTTCTCAAAATTAATTAAGAAGAAAAAAGTGTGCAGGACGCTAATTGCATAGAAGCGAGTACCTATTTTTAATTTTTTTAAAGCATTTTGTCGTCTGCTATTTATTCTCCCTTATTATCATTCTTAATACCCTTAAATTTGTTTAAAAAAATAACATCTGCCCAGACCTCTGTATCTCTATATTTATATTTCCTTCGTTTGAAGCAGTGTACGAACATTTCCTTTAGGAAACATAAAAATACCACCAAAAAACGAGGAAAAAAACGAAAATAGCGTGCCGACCTTTTGCACTCGGGATGTTTCTATGTTTGACACGTCAAAGGGGAGGAAAACAGTCGAGCGTCGGCGGCGTTTCGCAAAGACAAAACCTCCACATGCTACAGCCACTTGATTTAAGTGCTTACATGCAATTATTAATGGGGTGCTAATGGAGCTCGATTTTTACCGAAAAAACGTCCACACGTTTTGTTGAAAAATAAGGTCGGTGGATATGTTAATTTCAGGAGGTTATTTCCGAAACATAACATTTTCATTTTCAATCAATAGAAAAAAGATAAATAATAATAAACTATTGGTTGTTCTTATTTAGTACAAAGCATGTTAAAATAGTATATTATGTATAGTTTTTCAAATACATTTTACTATAATAAAGCAGCAATGTTGAACTTTTATAAAAAAAATGTTCATCCAACAAAGTTTATATTAAATCTTTGACGAACTTAAAATGTTTTTGTTAAATCTATATACTATAGTTGTGTATGAATTGCGCTTACATAAGGTAATGCGCAGTTGTTAATATTTACTATTAATAAAGCAAAAGCGTTAATTCATGATTTTAGCATAACACGAAAAAAAGATATATACCTATCCATGTTTTTTAGATATTTTTATGTTTATAAGGCTATAAAATGGGATCCTTTTTAAGACTTTATAAGAAAAATTGATTTTGAATAAAATTAAATAAAATAACATTTTTTGGAGATATATCTTTTTTGTGCATTATGCTTTTTACTATATAAAAAAGTGATTTTTGGCTAACCCTGTATAAATCTAATGATGTGCTCAGTATGAAAACAGTATTCTCCAAGTCTCGTTAACAATATACTCCAATATTATAAATATCGGTATACAAATGTGTACTCTGTCAAAGGTAAGATAAACAAAAATTAAAAAAAAATTAAGAATTTTCAAAAAATTTCGAAAAGAGGAGCAGCTAGGATTTTGGTAAATATGATTTTAAAGTTACCAAAGGGTCCCGAACAAGAAACTGCAATCAATAAAAATCGGTGTACAAATGTGTAGGTACTCTGGCCAAGGTAGACTTTGCGATAAACAAATAATTAAAAAAAAAATGATTTTTTGACAAATTTAAAAAAATATCGTTTTTAAATCTCCAAAGAGTGCCCATCAAAAAACTTTAACCAGTTTTTCGTTCAAAATTGTAAACTACTAAAAAGCCTAAATTGAACAACATTTTAAATATTCTCTAAGAGTTATTTTATTTAATTTTATAAAAATCTATTTTTTTATAAAAGGTTAATAAGAATGCCATTTTGTAACCTGATAAACGTAAAAATATCTAAAAAAAAATGGAGATAAATCTTTTTTGCGTGTTATGCCAAAATCATGAATTTACGCTTTTGCTTTGTTAAAAATAAGCGATTTTTGGCTCACCCTGTATATATCCAATGATGTGAACAGAATTAAAAAGTATTCTTTAAGTCTCCTCAATAATATACTCTAATTTTATAAAAATCGGTGTACAAATGTGTACTCTGTCAAAGGTAGACTTTGAAATAAACAAAAATTAAAAAAAAATCATGAATTTTCAAAAAATGTCGAAAAGAGGAGCAGGTAGGATTTTGGTAAATATCATTTTTAAGTCACCAAAGGGTCCCGAACAAGAAACTGCAATTAGTTTTTGGTGGCATTTTTACATATGTGACTTAAACTTCGTTCAGGCACACCGTGTAGTATTAATGAAACCCCATAAAAATTTTGTAAATTTTACAAATCCCTTTTCGTTTAAAATAAAACTTTTTTTATAATATTAATAAAATTTATGTTAATTAAACAACAAATTAATTGTTAATTCAATAAACTATTTTCATTGTAATAATGGTCACATTTTCAACCTACTGTTGGGTTTTGGGTAGTTTTTTTTAAATAATTGCAAGGGATTAAAAAAATTATTTATTATAACAAACAAATTAACTCATATTATATGATGTACAAAATAAAAAAAATATGAACTCACTTTTTAAACAACTTCGTTTATATAATTTCCTTTAGAAAACGTCCAAATTTTAATTTTCTTAGAAATCTTTTTGATATTTTTATCATGCTATATTTTACCACACTTCACTCGCACAAGTGAAATCAATAAGATTATAACACAAACTGTGGATTATAAAGTTATGTTCACCAAGGAGAGCGCTGGCCCTTTCCCCTTCTTTTTAAGGAAAATAACAAAAATTTTGTTAGGCTAACCCTGTATATATTAAATGATGTGCAAAGTATAAAAAAGTATTTTCCAAATCTCCTTAACAATATACTCCAATATTATAAAAATCGGTGTACAAATGTGTACTCTGTCAAAGGTAGACTTTAAGAAAAACAAAAATTTAAAAAAAAAAAAAATATTTCGAAAAGAGGAGCAGCTAGGATTTTGGTAAATATCATTTTTAAGTCACCAAACGAAACAAGAAACTGCAATCAGTTTTTGGCGGCATTTTTATGTGACTTAAACTTCGTTCAGGCACACCGTGACTAAAAAACGTTTTTGTAAACGGTATAGAACTGTTTTTTGGACAAATAATAATAACTATATTTATCAATGCGTTTCTGCATCTGAAAGAGTTTTATTTTTATAAACATAACGTAAATTTACTTTATAATTAATGCAAATGCTATTACTGAAAGCAGCGTTTGTAGATAAATAATTTTATAAAAATGATCTTTTTGCCGTAACAAAAGCAATTGTTGGACGAATAGGGATCTTTACTTTATTAAGACAGACTACTTTTTTTGTTATATTTATTAAAACATTTTCTGAGTGTACCATACTTTATCTAAGACGAACACAAAGAAGAATTTAAAGCGAATTTTATTTGTTAAACATTTGACAGATGTCAACGGATTTAACCTCACTTTTCAAATTAGACTGAAATGCCCAAAAGTCACTATTGCTAACTTCAGCCCGTGACTAAAACGCCATAAAGTCACAGCTCGTAAATATAGAAGTAGATAAATAGTTTTTTAATTTTTAAAAGTTTTTTAAGAATATTGATAAATAAAGACATATTCTACATATAATGTGATGAAGTGTGACATGAGGGAAGAGGAAAAATTTGACAAACTGACAATGAAATTTAAAATGCCTAAAATATTTTTGAAGAGATGTCGCTTTTTACTAACATTTGAAGTAATTGGTAATAAATTATTTTTATAATAAAATTTATTGTAAAAAAGTATATTTTGCAAATTTTCTTCGCTCATTTTTATCAAACACTCAATCACAAGCTTCGCTCGTGCCTAATTAAAATTCGTGACTAAAATGGCGTTTATCAAACCTGATACATGATATGCCTACAAAAAATCGACTTAAAAAAGTTTCACTGTAAATAAAAGCAGGTCAAGGCCGTTTCACAAAGGCAAATTTGTTTTTTTTAACGAAAAACTAAAATTTTAAAGGTATCTTTACATTGAAATCGCATAATTACTAAAACATTACGTTACTTTTCCACGTTTAAATATCAAACACAAGTTTCTGATGTTGAAATATAATACTAAATTTTGTAAGATTTTGATTTTTTCGGATAAAAAATTAAAAAAATCTGCGCAATGTTGTGATGAATAATAAAATACAGATCATATTAGGGGTGGTTTGAAGAAAAATAAGGGTAGTTGTCTACCTACACACATTTTCAACCTACTGTTGGGTGTTGGGTAGTTTTAATTAAATAATTGCAAGGCATAAAAACAAATTATTTATTATAACAAAAAAATTAACTCATATTATATGATGTACAAAATAAAAAAATATTAACTCACTTTTTAAACAACAAGTCGGCTTCGTTTATAGAATAGACCTTAAATTTTTCTTTTAGAAAACGTCGAAATTTTAATTTTCTTAGTGATCTTTTTGATATTTTTATCATGCTAGATTTTACCACACTTCACTCTCACAAGTGAAATCAATAAGATTATAACTATACAACTATAGATTTAAGAAAAACATTTTAAATTCGACAAAGATTTATTTATTTATTTATTTTCTTATTCAATGAAAATATGATAACAACTATAACTTTGTTGGACGAACATTTTTTTTATAAAATCGCAACATTGCTTCTTCATTATAGTAAATGAGAATTTTATTAACAGTAAAAAAAGTTTATTCTGTAAATAAAAATAATCTCATTACTTTGACAAATCGTGGGTTTTTGTCCCAATAAGACACTAAAAATGTAATAAAAAAGGTACCTTATGTGGTACATTTTTTATAGCCATTACAATTTTAAATTTAAGTTAAATAATATTATTTTATCAATCGCTTACAATATTAGTTTCATTATCAGTGCATGTACATTTTTCATACAAAAGGTATTCATTTTGATGAGCCGCCACTGCAAGAGTGATAATCAGAGACCAATAAAAACAGGGACGGCCGGTTAGCCGACCGCAATGATGTAACTAGGATTTCCCTTTCTCGGTTTCCTCAAGTCGAGAATTAAGTGAAACTGATGCAATTCGCTGCCTGACCTGCAAAAAGCCGTGACCCCTTTAAATACGCATATATAAACACTGCTGTAAAATACTCACCGCATAAAAATAACGAAATACGAACGAATATATTGAATAATTCGATTAACAATACGATATTTTAGTACGTATTTTTAGTAAAAATTTTTTACTGAATAATTAATAATGATGAAACAAATTTGTTTGATATAATTTTTCATTTAAAATAAGTTAAAAAAAAAGTAAAAAGTTTTGTCGTCAATTTATATAAATTTAAACTATTAACAAAAGTTTTTTTTTTTAATTTAATATATTATTTTTTTAAAATTTTTTTAAACCTAAAATTTCAGCTTTTTAAAAATCATATTTTAAAATTTAAAAAATAAACTGGTAATAAGTTGTTTTTTTTACTTGCGTATCATTTAAATTACACTGTGCAACACAAAAAATGAACTGGGATCAAATCTGAAAAAATCGAATCTAGGCAACCCCCAAAACAAATCCTTTAAGGGGTTTTACCAGTTTAGCTCGAATAATGGAGATATACAGGGTGTTTCTTTTAACTTGAGACAGCTCAATATCTCGAGAAATACGCATTTCACGGAAAAATGTCTTAAATAAAAGGTTAATGTGACTAAAGGGGACATTATTTGGTGCTAATTTTTGTTTTTCAAACGTTTCAAAT